GAGAACCCCAAGGACTCCACAGTTCAACCCTGAGCTACAGATATTCTCTTCTATTGGTAAAACAGAATAAACTTGAGATTGCAAAACAAGAATATAGCAAAGAAATCCAAGGATCATTTCTCTGTATTTTCAAATGTCAATTCCCACATTTGCAACCTGCATTCCTGGCTGTATGCCATTATGAAAGCATTTTTTTTTTAAAGATGGAATACATCTGAATATCCTTTACTTTGATGACATTTATCAGACATTCTGCATGGCTAAACTTGTAAATGTGTAAGTACTCTAACTTTCTGGACAAGATCAACTTAAGTCCCAACAATTGCACTTCAATGGTTTAATTAGCATAGAGAAATGCTACTCCACAAGTTTAATTACATTCTATTTATAGATAAAACTCTTGGATATATTCAAATGAATGCCATAGGTCAAATAAAAACACACTGTTGAAACTTCATCCAGATTTTATTTTCCTTGGTTAAATCTTTTGGAAACCAAGCAAGTAAACTTCTCTTTCAATGTTACATAAACATTTCTCCTTTTCTTTAGACAAAAGAATATGTGGAACAAGGTGCAACAAACCTTTTTAGCATCAGAGAAAATGCTACATGTTACTGACAGTCCTAATGGCTGTTAACTTTACACAACAATCGTGTTGTTACTGACTGCTGATATTGGTCTGCCACTGAAGAACTTGCTCAAGTCATCCTCTATGAGCCAATACGCCCTCTATGTAAACATACAGGCTTTACAAAAAAACAAATTAATCTTATCAAACAGCATGAATGGTTGCATAGGGAGGATATTCAGCAGTCTGGGCTCATAGGGAATATTCTTCTGTGTGATTGCTACCATGTAACTAATTCACACTGTCAGCCTCTTACAATATGGCTAATCTTACACTGTCAACTGATATGTTTGAAGAGAGAGAAAGACATTCTGATCATTTGTTGGAGACATGAAGAGCTGGAATGCTTACTCCTCATCATCCACATCCCTCAAAGCAAAAGCTACAAGAAGCTGGTAATATAAATCATTACACTACTGAAGCAGAGAAGCTGAATTTATCAGTGTGGTAGAAATTCTGATAAATTTTGAAGGAGTACAGTGTATTTTTCAGTTTGGGAAGAAGCAAAATAAGAACAGGGAGCAGGAAAGAATAGTCTGTTCCATCTGTTTTAATTCACACAGCTTCAAGCTGAAACCCAAAGTAAAAAACTATGAATAAATGAACTGATCATAATTCTATTTGTCAAATTCAACTTGACATGAAACCTCGTAAGATGATCAGAAAGCAGCCATTAATTCCCATATTCCACAATCTCAGTATCTTTCTGAAAACTAAAGGGGAGTGTGGAGGATAAGACCTTAACTATTCTATGATTGAGCTACTCAGAGGAAATGCTTAAAATTTTTAAAATAACAAATATAGAAGAATGTGATGTCAGCATTTCTACATCTCCTGTCTGTGACGACTCCATTAAGCATGAACATGAAAATGGTCATCTCAAGGAAGGGAAGATGTGTTGTCATACACTATTAGGAAAATAAAGAAGGATATGGTTTTCAAAATTATTAATATGTTGCACATAATATATAGGTCCACCTCAAATTTTCTCTGAAGAATCTACTTCAAAGGTAGGCCTCATATGATCTTCCATCTTTTCTGACTAACAAATATTATTAAGGCATAATTTCTGAAATGAATGCCATTTTTATCCCAGTTGCTTTTTTAATGATTTACCTTGTAATTTACAATGTAATATATCTGTACACTAAGAAAATTTCAACCATATGGTAATTCAAAATCTCCACTAAAAATACTTGCAACTGATCTGGAATGTTAGGAACTGACAGCATAAATAAGAATTCAAATATTTAGTATAAAAAAAGTATATGTATTTATAAGTACTGATAAAATATATATAATTTCTAGTCTTTCTTTCTTTACTCATTGTAGGATATATATCTTAGAGTTAGATTGTTTCACTTTTAAAAGTTAGCTATAGCTATCTCAGTAACTAATATGTTCAGCTTGACACATGCATGGTAAGTATCAATGATTTCGCTATCTAACCATTGTAAGAGAAAAACATCTCCTTTTCCCTTTCTACCCCCTCCAATTGCCAGTAACAGCATAGACAGGAAAAACAGAAAGCATGAGGACATTAATGTACTACAACTAAAATGACTGTAAGTCATTGATAAGCAGGTGTGATTATTTGGGCTGTTTAGCCAGTATTGTTACATCATCAAATTATACATCTTTGTCTAAGTCTTTAAACTGTCCTCACATTCAAGGAGATGTAGTTTTGGAAACAGTCTTACTGACAAGGGAAAGGAACATTTTATTTATTGGTATTACATCTGGCAAGATTTACCTTTTGGTTTTGCATTTTTCAAAATGATAGTAATGAGTTCTGGAACATCAAAATAGGCAGCATAGTGCAGAGCATTCATATTTGTCCAGCGACTCCTCAAACTGATATCTGCACCCAAGTCAATAAGTTGAGACGCAAATTTTGCAGCTGTTTCCACATCCCCTGCAAAACAGATATTTTGAAAAGACAGCTTATATGTGGTTTTGTGAGTTCCTGATAGGCTTTCACAACATACTAGATAATAGAAGACTGTCTCCAAAGAAGATTGGCAAGTTTCCACATAGCCAATCCTTATGAGATGTTTCCTTACCAGAGTATGGAGGTTAATCATATTGTAACTACCATTAACAATGAAGAAAATACTCAAGAAAGTTTTATAGTACTTTTTATATTGGCCTTTCTCTCTGGATGCACAGGGTTGCAGCTTCCATGATCCTACATATATATGGCCAATGACTGGAGTTGATGAAAACTGTTATCCCAATACATCTGGAAAAAGTCAAATTGGGAAGACTGTTCTACAAATACTTGCAGCAAAATGATGGTTGGGTTTTGCCTTATTTTCTACAGAAAAATACAGTTCCTTGTACACATTTTATGATATGCCATGCAGCTTCCAATGTCTGGATTTCAGTTAAATTGTCTTGATTGTTTCTGTTCTAATACAGTAGAAGCACTGCAGGCTCCTCTGGATCTCATACAAGAGGAACAGACCTACAAATACCAATAGTTCCTCCCTTGCACAGATGCTGGAGTAACAGTTGTTGTGACAATAATAATGGCTAACACATCACTTGTCACTGTTCTAGCTCATGACGACAGAGGGCTAATGGATAATCAACTAACGGTAGAGCAAGTCTCATAATCAAAGGAGCAAAGCCAAAAGATATCTGACCAGAATATTAGTGAAATTATACATATGCTATGACTTCAGTGGACAAAAACCATTGTTTTTATTTATACCTAGCAATTAGGACTAAAACTATTTAATTCAACTGTTAAATTATTTTACAATATTTCATCTGTATCATGTACTGACATGTAGTTCTATTATTTTCTAGGATTTTCAAATGAGAAAATAAAAAATTTCTGCCTGTTTCCACTCCATTAATTTTAAATTGTCGCTGTGTAGGAGGCCACAAAGCTACAGAACAATAGGAAAATGGAAATGGAAATCTGATTATTTCAGCTTAGCAACAATTCCATTTAGAAAGTTTGGAGACAAAAGGTAGCACACAAACAAATTCTGTGATTACAGTACAATAAGTATGCATAAGTCTCCATGAATTTTAAAGCAACATTTGAGGTATCAGGACAATTTATCCTATCATCCACCCAAAAGATTACAGGAAATTATCCAGTGATGCTGTGATATCACTAAGGGACATGACTTTTTGGGGGGCACTGAAATTCAGCAGTGATTTTTGGGGTGCTGGGGTGCAAATGAGGTGCTAGTGAAAACATGTGGCTCATGAATGGCCTAAGAAGACAGGGTCATTGCTACAGAAGCTCCAAACTGTTCAAAGTGGTAGAAGCGGTCCCTTTTTGGCCACAGAGAGATATGGAATTTGCAATATTTTAGAATCTTACAGATAAGTCATTTGAAGAGGCATGATATTTTATTTCTCTCTATATTGGCATGGGGCAACATAACCAGGGAAAGATAGGAAAGACAACTACTACTACTACTGCTATAAAAACTAGCCACAGAAAATTTGCACTTCCTTTCCTTACCAATACCATGAGCTCCTGACTTGCAAGTATAGTGCAGTAGAGTCATGTCAGTCAAGCCATCTCTGTCATTCACGTTACAGCCTCTCTTAATGATCTGTTAAAAAAAAATTACATCGTTTATGATTCTGATGCAGCAACTCTTATTTCCTGGAAGGTAAAATATATCACTCTCATAATGATGCCTAATAATAAATTACTCTTTACTGTATTGCCAGAGCAGTTAGCTGATATATTTCACAGCAATGACGATATAAATACCTGGGTTCATGTAATCATCAATTTGCATTTCATCAGTTCAATTTCTATATTCTGTAGAGTACTAAGTTACTTAAAAGAACTTGCCAAAATCATGTAAACCTAAAAAGATATGTAGCCCTTAATGCACTTTTTACAGAGCATTCTGCTCTTAGCAGATCAGAAAAAAAGTTATTTAAATTTCTAACCAATAAGGATGCAGATATAATGACACATTTGCTAACACTGTATTCTACAGAAAAGTTGAAGAGATATTTCCATATATTAAGTGAGGACACAAAGTAAAAATTAATTAGATTTATAGATATACCCAGGAAATCAGTAAATGCCTCACCTCATTTCCTATCATATCAATGTTTTGCTGAACTTGGGGAACCCACTGTCTTAAGATAGCAAATAATTCAGACACAGAAGTTTTGGGGTTGAAAAGAATTTCCCGGCATGCTGTATCATTTGGATCGAAAAAGGAGAACTCTACAGAAACAAAAGAAAGATTTAGTTGCAAAAAAACATTCAGAAAGATTTTTAAAACACTTTTAGTCAAGGTATATACATCCTAACAAACCTTCTCCACCTAGTGCCCTGAAGATGTTGGCTAAGGAAACAGAGTTCAAGTGTAAACCATCTGGACGATCCACAGTTGGAAAATACTTTATTATGCAGCCAATAAGGGATTCTCTAATTTGATGAGAAGTGTTGAGTGTTCCAGATAGTTTTTTTTACACAATTCCACTGTTTCATTCACAATGTTTTATGATATATTTAGATGTGCAGTCTCTATGTGTTACCCTCTCATATTTTCCTACAGAAAATCTTTCTTCCTAACATAGAAAATCCATTAAGGAGTAACAAGTTTTGTTTGACAACACAGAGATGGCATCAAAAATGGATCTACAAATGACAGGCTACGAGGATGACATCGAAAAGGATGTTTCACTGACGCATACAAACCAGTTAATGTTTTAAAAATCAAAACAGAAATACAAATAATAAACCAAGAGAGTGACCTGGATAATGTTTTATATTGGATTTACAAAAGAGGCTTGTTAAAGCTTTGAAGAATCTTGTGAGAAGGGACACAGAAGAAATGGAAAGAAAGCAAATTCTACAATATTATTTGAGTGGACTAAAGATTAAGACTGTTAGACGTAAAAGAAAGGAATATAAGGTTGGTTTATTTGATCAATGTTAAAATAAGATATGTTGTTATTTCTGGTAACCCTTAATGGACTTTCTGCTGACTTTGGACTGAAAAGAGGATGCTTTATGGACTTGTCTATAGATAAGAGATGGGATATGAGATGAAGAGATCATTGGTTGTAAACTAAGAGGGGATGAAGAGTTACAAATTTATTTATTAATATAT